ACACAATTAGCGGTAATGTTTATGACCTACATATTTCCACTTGGAAAGTAGTTAATATGGCACGACGTTGATTGAACTTCATTATTTAGTTAAATTTTAATTCAAGGGTAGGTGATTTATTGGACGAATGATTGAAAGAATTAATTAATTAATTAATTAAAATGAAGCGAGAATATGCAACATAGACAGAATGTAGGTATCAAATTAGATGGTTTAGAGGAAGGAGTAAGAGAAGAAGAAGAAGAAAAAGAAGAAGAAGGTGATGATGATTCTGAACATACAAAGACTCAGTAGCTAAATGGATGATGTAATTCTCGAGGTATCTATTTTGTTTACGAAATTGAGAGGATGATGATTGAGTGTCCGGCTGTTTAATCGGGTTGGTGGATATGGAGTGTCCACCTAGAGGAGTTGATAAACACTGATTCCAAACAAATGGTGAACATGAGCTCCAGTATCCTGAGTGAACAAATGGTGTATGAACCGATTGTTGATCACCGGCTACCATGGGACTGCATCTCTTTAAGTTGCTCTCCTAACAAAATCACCTGATTTGGTTTGGGTACCTGAACAATATTCCACACCTCACACATATCGAATGATTTATGTCGCGCATATCTATTTGGTGCGCCTTCGTACCAATCTTTATGTATTCAGGTAAATAAACTTCGATTTGATTCGATTAAATCTATGCAAATGAAGTTTTTACACATTCTATCTCTAATTTGATTAAAACCAAAGTAAACACAGACTTATCCACAAGTGGTTTGCCATAACGAAAACCAACTGTTTGTAGAATTATACCATTTTTAAATCAAAATGACGATGGATTAATTATTCTTGAAGCAAAATACAAACGTAGACTTATCGTCATATTCTGAATAGTTTTTTAGGTTACTGTAACCTAATTCTCAAACTAACGGATTGTATTATTCAGTAACGTTGGATACGGAGACTACTTGACCTAAATAGACTGATTGATCTGGAATAATCAAGCTTATTAAAAATAAATTTCAAAGTATCTTAACCAACAACAAAAAAACAACTTTGTACTATCGTCAATCATTTGTTGTTGTAGTTACTTATGCGAAATGTGGTCTAATTGTAGATCGATCGGGAAGATTTCACTATGATCACTTATGATGAATAGAAAAGATTGGGTGTTTCACAGAATCAATGTAAATCTGATTCCCATTGATTTTATACATTGAAACCAAGTACTCACCTACAGTGTCTGATTAAGAATTAAATATCGTTGTAACAGAGAAACTAAACGTAGGGATGGCTGTTTTATATATGCATTGGATTACCATATAACTAATAAAGTTGAAAACAGTGCCTCGATTAGTTCACCTGAATCAGTGTGGATATCAGCAACACTCCGAATCATAATCGTTTGCATGATTAGGGGAAATGTCTGTAATCATTTTTACTTGGACATTGTATTCATTTTGTTCATCCATTTCAATCGTTGCTGTCCTTTTTAGGGACCATATGCAACGGAAATGCATAAGGGCTATTTGACGGTCGTATGATTCTTAAGTCTATGACGTGATCGAATTCGTTTTTCGCTAACCTTAGCTTTTCAGGAGCTAGTCGTCGTGCTTTAGAGAATTCAGGTGGTCCTGTAATCGTGATGTGATGTGTAACGTTGCTGGTTACACACGGTAGTTTCGGTTGAGTTTGTTGTATCCCAGGGTACTTATCGAGTAGTGCTTGATAGAGTGGGTCTATCATATGCTTAACTGTGACTGGGAATAATCTGCAACCAGTAAAAGAAGTTACACAAACAGATAAATTAGTGTTTCCGTCTACTAGCCTCCGTTTGCGCGTGTCGATGATCAGATTATGGTGTTGTAGAAGATCCATATCAATGATTGGCATAGAAACATTTGCAACAACGAAAATCCAGTGAATGTGTTTTCGTAAACCAACGTTAAGGTAAACGTACCTATTGCCATACATAGCGATCAGTTTTCCGTTTTCCGCCGGTAAGTTTAGAGCCGATTTGTGAAGCCGGTCGTTAGGATTTGCTGGGAGAACGTTAACTTCTGCGCCAGTGTCGACAAGGTAGCGAACTCTCGTCGTCACATCTGTGACGCATAACAGACGGCTATGTTCGCCGGCCACGGTTGCCGTTAACGCGTGCAGGCTAGGAAGTTGTCCGAGTTGTTTTTCGAGCCAGTCGGTTTCGTGTTGGGAAAATTGCATGGTTTTCTGCAATTTCTGGAAGACTTTCCATACTGGTTATGATACCAGCACCAGTCGGGGTTATCCGTCTCTCGTGGTCTAGAGACAGATCGCTTACGTGAAATGCTTCTACGTGAGCTGTGTGAGCGATCACGGTCGTTACGAAGATTAAGATAGCGCTTGAGTGTATCACATAACTCGGTTATGTCATTCTGAGCCGTGTGAGGTTTTCTTTGACTGAAAATACCTCTGTAGTAGACGATTTCGTTATTTCTAAAATACGATCGGCAGATGCAGCCAACTCGTCTAAGGCGTTGTTCTGAAACGAAACCAGAACCGCTTGCACCTGTTGAGGAAGTTTAGACAAGAAAAGTTGTTCGAATAGGCCTTCATCGAATGTTCTTATGCCTATCACTTCTCTCATTCGTTGCAACATGTCCGTCGCAGAACCGTGTTGCAGGTCGATGTTATTGAAGAGTTGATCTAACCTTTGTCGATCGGTTAGGTCTCCTCGATTAAGAATCGAACGTTTTAGGATTTCGTAAGGTTCGTAAACATCACTAGTAAACATACTAGGTGTTACGCACCTGTTGAATTCGCACGGTAGTGCCTTGACTACTGCGAGGAATTGTGCACGTGTGTCGATCACGCCGTGCTCGGAGAAGTCGGCTCCTGCGTAGCAGAACCAAGCTTCGATATTGTCGGGCCAGAAAGGCATGAGTTGAAACGAAGGTGGGGACAAAGTCTTAAGCTTGAGTACTTTGGGTGTCTGTTCAGCCATGATGAGATATGAAGTACGATAATGAACGAGAGGAAAAAAATATATATATATCGAAGAAAAAACACGAAAAAAATCACAAAGTTTAAAAACATATAAAAATAAAACAATGATATATGAAATCCCAAAATGGAACAAACTCACGGTTGGAATTAGGTGTATCAGATCACGTTGGGCTCACCAATGAGCATGATACAGGTATTCAGTGTTTGACAACGCTTCTACCAGTAACACCTTCTAATATACTTTGTTCCCACCAAGAGAAATCAAAAGACAGGGTCGAGGGGATCGGAATGGTGTAGTTGGCGATAACCAATATATCGGAATTCTCGGATCTAATCTGGCTAGCGATTGCGATAGATGCTGAGCACAGCGTTACCACACGTGATCTGGTGCGGATGCATGACCGAGCGCCTTCAGCTAGATGAGTCCACTAAAACATATGGTCAGCATCCAATGTCGAAAATTTACAGAGCTATTTAGTTTGGGGATTTATTTACCGCTACAATTCTGAACATACAAAGACTCAGTAGCTAAATAGATGATGCGATGAAGCGATTGAAACGACCGGCGTTGTGTGCACGTCTCACAGTCAACATCAACACTGGGATGCATGTACATCCAACTGTTCAGTCACAAATACGACGAAACACGATTTCTGGATTCCACTACTAGACATCATCCATCATCCTGTAATAATGCACTTGAATGACACAACACATATAAGCGAACAATATTGTTTTCAATTAGATCGTCATCAGGCTTTATTCTAATATACATGAGTATTTATGCGAAAATGTTAAACTATTCGCGACAATATGGGTCAATAATCACAATGAAATAGAATACATCACCACACATAGTAAGTAAAAATACAAGTTGAAGGTAGGAAAGCGGGTGTTTTGATAGTGGTAAGAATAATAAAATACGATAACAAAAGTCTTATCAATAGTTAGACGTTGGGAATAGAAGGTCAAACGTGGGTAAATAGACTAGGAAAAGTAATCTTCAACAAGACTTATTATAGATAAATACACGAGATAGCCATGGGCTCACCTTTAGGCCCGATTCTATCCGATCTCTTCCTAGCAAAGCTAGAAAATGGACCTCTTAATGAGATTATTAAGAACTTGATTTATATTGCCACTACATTGACGACACCTTCATTATCGTAGATCAAAACACCAGTAAGGACGAACTCTTAGAAAAATTCAACAATGTTCACCCAGCGATCACTTTCACTGATGAAAGCGAGCATGACTATAAGCTGAACTTCCTTGACGTCACACTAAGCAGACGAAGTGACGGCATATTAAGTAGAAGCGTGTATAGATGAAACCTCTCTGCATGCCAATATACTCACTTCTTCAGTTTCACACCTATCCCCTACACGAGAAATCTGGTCAGATGTCTCACTAGCAGAGGAAAAAAGATATGTACAGTAGATAATCTAAGTCAAGAGCTTGAATTTATCAACAACTCACTGACCGAGATCGGCTACTCCAATGCTTTCATTAAGAAGTACATGTATGACATAATAAAGAAGTCGGAGATTTCGGTTGTTCGTAAGAAACCTTTATACATGAAAGTACAATTCAACGGGGATGTGGCTAGTGATACTCTGAAATATAGATTAACTAAAGTAACCACCAGGACATTCTACGCAGCTAATCTTGCTTTGACATTCTCTTGTCGACTAGCGATGTCTACTCGAACGAAGGATAATTTACCTGAGTTGGATACAGAAAAAACAAACAAATCAACTCTCTCAACATTATAAACATGTTCCTCTGGTGATTGCCAGCTAGCGGACAAACCAACTAAACCAAATCAATTTGCAAATTCACCCTAACAATCCAACATCTAAATACCTCACACATGATATTTGCAAATTCATTGTTTGTTTCCTCCTGTTCATTAGTCACATTGTAACAACACACAGCTTTCATAATATCTCACTATTACGTTAATATTAAAACAATACACTACTCTCTCTCGCATATGAATACTAAGTCCTTAATTCAAGTACAGTTTATCTCATAATCTCATTATTATTATTATTATTATTATTATTATTATTATTATTATTATTATTACTATAATTAGAGTTGGCATATTGTCCATATTTTGTGTCAACTAAATATCAAACAGTTTCCACACAGAAATATAATACTTGGTATATGAGGCTATAGTCAACAATACAGTTTTCTATGATTACGTTTGGTAAATCATGTCTAGATACATACAGTGATCCAGATGTTGGTAATTTCATGGACCGCCATAGTTATTTGCAAATATCCATTGTTCCATACTACACAAAATTATTCAATCATTCAAACATACATTCAAGCTGTATGACGTGAACGGACGTGCTGGTTTAATGGAACATTTAACAATTGACTCGTTTATAAGTAATCCAATTGTGTATCGATTCACTAATTCGAGACCACATCAGGAGGAGTAACTGCACAACTTCTATCATTCAGTTCATCTAATTTCGTAGGGTGAAACAAATGTATTTATATTATTCTTATGTTTACATAATCGTGTTCACTGAAGTGAGTGTCGTAATGTACAGATAAACAGGTGTATTTGTAGTTTTCGGTTTAATGCTTTAACATCTTCATTATCCACAAAGTGCTCAAATAAGTCTCTACAGTTGTCCGACCACAGCGTGTCACGTTGATATTGTGAAAGTTCTATCGAGCTGTGACTGTACAGAATATGATCGGTTTGTTCTCAGACATTGGTGGCTTCGTTGCGCTTTCTGAGGGCCATCCCAACAGAAACATGTCAACATTCAATATTCATTTGAGCAAATGATTCGGTAAATCACACAGCATTTTATCATACTGTGAATGCTATGCAGATGAATAGGCAATTCTCGAACATTCGTCGACACATATCATGTTTGATGAGGTTTTTCAACGTCGTGTAAACAATCAGAAAAGATCATTCAGTTAAGGAAATTACAAACACTATTTATGAGGAAAGTAAATTGATGATGCGCTGAAGCGATTGAAACGACCAGTGGTGGGTTCACGTCTCACAGTCAACATCAACACTGGGATGCATGTAGATCCAGCTGTTCAGTCACAAATACGACGAAACGCGATTCCTGAATTCCACTATTAGACACCATCCATCTTTGTGTTATAATGCATGCTCTCACATGGTCGCGTGCATATGTAGAGGCTAATTTCCTCTATATCTGACTCCATCAAATAGTATCCCGTTAACTGTGTATTTAATCTCCTACTCGAATTATGGATTGATTTGAGATCATTCAAAAGCCTGAACATCAGTTATAGAGACAGTTTGTTGTTAAGGATTGGTAAAATCCGCAAGCGTACAGGAAGCAAGCACACAGAGAAAGCAAAAGTGTGTGTGTGTGTATGTGTGAATGTTAAAATTCCATATATATAATAATCAATGTTAATCAAGTATGAATGAATTATTGATTGTCTGTGTATTACAACCAATGGGAGAATAGGTTGAAGATTGATGTGCGGAAATGTGCTCAATCAGACTCACACAGAAATTTGCATAGTGGAATAATTGTCTAAATTACAGTGAGTAGACAAATAATATAGTAGTGGATTGGGCTTACTACACATACAACCACTGCCAGTCCTACTCACTGCATTATCGACGTATGGGTTTCAAATACGAAAGTGAGAGGATGAAAAGTGAATGTCCGGCTGTTTAATCGGGTTGGTGGATATGGAGAGTTCACCTAGGGGAGTTGATAAACACTGATTCCAAACCAATGGTGAACATGAGTCCCAGTATCCTGAGTGAACAAATGGTGTATGAACATATTGTTGGTCACCGGCTACCATGGGACTGCATCTCCTTAAGTTGCTCTCCTAACAAAATCACCTGATTTGGTTTGGGTACCTGAACAATATTCCACACCTCACACATATCGAATGATTTATGTCGCGCGTATCTATTTGGTGCGCCTTCGTACCAATCTTTATGTATTCAGGTAAATAAACTTCGATCTGATTCGATTAAACGTATGCAAATGACGATGGATTAAATATTCTAGAAGCAAAATACGAACGTAGACTTATCGTCATATTCTGAATAGTTTTTAGGTTACTGTAACCTAATTCTCAAACTAACGGATTGTATTATTCAGTAACGTTGGATACGGAGACTACTTGACCTAAATAGACTGATTGATCTGGAATAATCAAGCTTATTAAAAATAAATTTCAAAGTATCTTAACCAACAACAAAAAAACAACTTTGTACTATCGTCAATCATTTGTTGTTGTAGTTACTTATGCGAAATGTGGTCTAATTGTAGATCGATCGGGAAGATTTCACTATGATCACTTATGATGAATAGAAAAGATTGGGTGTTTCACAGAATCAATGTAAATCTGATTCCCATTGATTTTATACATTGAAACCAAGTACTCACCTACAGTGTCTGATTAAGAATTAAATATCGCTGTAACAGAGAAACTAAACGTAGGGATGGCTGTTTAATATATGCATTGGATTACCATATAAATAATAAAGTTGAAAACAGTGCCTCGATTAGTTCACCTGAATCAGTTTGGATATCAGCAACACTCCGAATCATAATCGTTTGCATGATTAGGGGAAATGTCTGTGATCATTTTCACTTGGACATTGTATTCAATTTGTTCATCCATTTCAATAGAAATTCACATATGACATTATGCTTCATTCAATCAAGCTAACAATACAATCGCTTACTAAAGTCATCTGTTTATTCTCTTAATCTCATACTTTGCATTCTATTTGAATTAACTAAGTAGTAGATGATCGTGTGCAATGAATGCTTATTCTCCCAACACTTTCTCTATTTTATCACATAGTTACAAAAGTGTATGAATAGGTAATGTTGCTGAATTATTTAGTTAATCTTAATGGTGTTATTGATGAATGTTTGATGAAAGTAGAGCAATATGATCATAGTTTAGAAATCGATTAAGTTAGTTAACGTAGTTCAACACTATTACTGTACTACTCATAAAGTTGATTAAGATATATAGTGAAGTTATTAAAACGAAACATCATCACTGGAAAATAAAGTTTATTTTCTTTCAATGTATAGCATGATTCAGATATATATCGATATATATTTTCAAATTTGGTTAACCAATTCCGAAATGGTAGCGTTTCAGGTCGATCACTCCATCTGGAACTGTAAAACAAACAAAACACTTAGACTTATTCAACTGATAAATGATGTAAACTACTACAAAAGTGTCTTTCTAATCTGTCATATAACAAGTAACTTTATTTGTTCGCCTAGAATCTCAGTTATATTCCCTTCAAACTTCTCATATCAAACTAATGTGTTTTACAATATGTTCTTTTTCTTGCCATGAATCTACAAAATCCCACACCATAACCCTTTGAACATGACAACAATGACAAACATTTATCATTTACAATAATGTTCAATGCAATGAATGTAAAGTTCACGAGTCAGGAGTGATTAAGTCCAAATACATCAATGTAAGATGTGCATTATACCACAAATTGTGAATAGCTCTCTATTGCCTAATTAATAATTTCATCGATCGGAATATATGTACTGTACACAATGTTCAGGATATCATGTTGTCTTTGAGAAGAATGGAGACTAGAAATTTATCTAAGTATTTCTATTGAATAAAATGTTTAGTGTAATGATACGTTACATACGTTACATAACCAGTTATATAACCAGTTCGATAAACTAGTTATAAATGTGAACAACTATTGAAAGTTAAGATTTTGCATAATATCCTATATACAGTAGATGATCTAGGTGCTACATTGTACAATGTTGTGGATGCGCACCATTGAGGAGTCTCATTCTAAGACGAAACGGCCATCCAGTGCTTACAGGTTTTCCATGATGGTCTGGCCTCAGTTGATTCATGATCTTCACAAAACCCCTTCTGATACATATATACATATACATATAACATTATTAGTCAATAGATGTATCCATGAGAACAAAACAAAACAAAACAAGACAATCCGGCTACACTTATGTATAACAACATGAAATGAATGAAATACTATCGCTTACCATCATTATTTACTAAGATAAAGATGACTGATGTCAATAGAATAACTTGCTTCAAGTAATTCATAACATTACCAACTATGTTGATCTATTAAAATATCATAATATTTAAGCATAACTTACAGAATTCATTTTCATTTCTTTCTTACTCCTGAATGAATATTGGCAAAAGTCATTTGCACTAAGACTTAAATAGTTCTCATTTCGTTTCATTAACATGATCGCCTACACAAAATAAAAGTATCCGTTTCATATAATATATAATATGATTGGTGACATGATATTGATGTGTTCAATATTAATATTATTATTCAAATTTTCATTAGATGAATGAACCTTTTCGTATTTCTGATAGTAAACAACATATGCTCATTAGTGATTTGATTCAAGAGATACACCCTGGAGTTCTAGTGAAAATCAGTGAAAAGTGTAGTTCAACCGGGTCAGTTGTGAGGTAGTAACTCGATGATGACAATGTTGGTGGTGTCGCTTCATCGCATTATTAACTGTGAGATTAGACGCAGAGATGCGAAGTCTAGTGCTTATAATTGTCTCAGGAGTTCCACTTCTGTCGAAAATTCAAAACAACAGAAAATCATTCTGGAAATCAAATCATCTCCACTTTTTGAAATAAACATGGTTTACACAATTTCTTAACTTCACTAATGAAATTTATCGTATTCATTGCTATCATTGGTGGGTGTAACAACACTGAGTCCAACCCATTGTAATCGAATTCTTCTCTATATTGCATATCGATTCCATTGGAAAGGGATCACTTCTCGGAAACAATCTTGACGTATCCGAGTACCGATTCACCATTGACCAAAGCACCATCAATGAGAAACCACAATTCTCGAACAACTGAATGAGAATAAAATTACAAAACAAACGATACTTCATAAATTAGAGTATACTCCAACAAAACTATCAACAATGTATACAAGTTGTTGTTATGTGGTCAAATAAATTGGCTTATTCAATTGAATAATCATAAAGAATGTGATATTGAAATGTGGTTCTAATTGCCTACACAATTAGCGATGATCTTTATGACCTACATATTTCCACT